GAGAACCGAGAAGTGCAGCTCCAAACCATAGCACGTCGGTGTTTACAGACCTGCCCTGAGCCCTGCTCACCTACGGTGATTTCTTTTCGTCTCCTCTATTTCATTCTCTGCCTCCTCCCCTCCGAGTTCCCAAATCGCACCCAACTCTCAGCCCGTCCGCCACCGAGGGTGACCCCCGGCTGAACCACTGCTTCTGAGCACTTTTATTTCAAGTACGTCATTTTAGGGAGCTGGAGCCACTAAAGTTATAAAATATGGCATCCAACTCGTTGAAAAAGCCCTCGCATTTCTCCACCAGCCTGCTCAAAGCGTTGTCTTTTTGGCAACCCGGGTCACGTAGGTAGCAGTGATGAAATATTTTCTCCCTCTCTGGATACCAACCTGCAGCGCAGTCCTCCCAAATCCATTTTGTGCATTGACGTTTACATTCTTTTGCAACAAATTAGTGAGTTGCACTAGGTCCCCCTTGGCAGCCGCGGACGCCAGCTCGTTCCCAGAAGGCTCGGCCATTCTTTAGGGTGACTGACGATCAGAAAAAGATGAGATTTTTTTTTAACCAGGCATGGCATCGGAGACTGACAGAAGGATTGGGATGGTTAATCTTCTGGAGTAGACCTTGTAGTAAATACTCGTAAAAAAACTCCTTGCCAAGAGCCCGCCCCTAACTCACACGTGATTATTCAGCAAAACTGCAGCTCCGCTTGAAAGAAGATTTCTTTGCTTCCACATAGAGAGGAACTCATATTAAAGCCTTTGGCCGGTTGCGAGGGGAAATATATTAAGAGCTATGCGATATATGATATATGTTACACGTAACATATATACACGTACGTACACCGGAGACTCACTCAGACCTGAGATCCTGGAAGAGGACAACCCACCCTGCTCACAGTCGGCATCTGAGCCTCAGCAGCCGCAGCTCCGAGGCAAAGTCTTCACTTTGGAGGTCCGCCCGCCGCATGCCCCGCTCCGGGCCGGGCAGAAGGCGCGGGGCGAGACGCGCCCGGATCTCGCTGCCTCCCTCGGCGCTCTCTCTGCCGGCGGCGGCCTCACTCCCGCGGCCTCTCCGCGGCTCCGCGATCCGGGCCGGCGGGGGCCGCCCTGGGCGGCGGCGGCCGCGGGGCATCCAGCGGGGCGGCGGGGCGGCGGGCGGCGGCCCGGCGGGGCGGGCTCGTGCCGTATCCGCGGGGAGCCGAGGCCCCGCCGCTCTCGGTGCCGCCGCCGCCGCCGCTGCCGTCCGGGCCGGGGACGGAGGAGCCGCGGGTGCAGCGCCCGGCCCGGGGTGCCGCCGCCGATGACAGCCGCGCTGCGCTGCGCCGCTCCGTCCGCTCCGCAGAACGCTGCACTTGCCGCTCCGCAGAGCGCTGCCTCCTCCCGCGGCTCCGCGCTCTCCCTTTTTTAAGCGCAAACAATCGCTACTTCTGTTTCCTACGGACACGAAGCCGGTTTCTCTCTCTCTCTCTCTTCCAACCCCCCCCTCCTTTTTTTTTTTTTTTTTTTTTTTTTTTAACCTCATCAGCTTTTTTTGAAAAGAAAAAAAATTTGAGCGCTTTTTGAGTTGAAACACCCGCCCACATTTTAACGGCAGAGATTTAAGGAGGCGCGGCGGAGTTGCGGCTCGGCCGGGCAGGAAGGCCTGCAGCGCCCGCCCCGCCCCTACGGCCCCGCCGCTCCCCGCGGCCATCGCGCGGCCGGGACAGGGGGAGGGAAAAGGGAAAGGGAAAAATAAAAAGAAGGCGTTTTCGGCTGTTTGAGCTCCGTGGCCGCCGTGTCCCGCGGCCGCGGGCACCTGCCCGAGGAGCGACCCGGGGCCGGGGAGAAGCCGTCCCGGCGCTGCGGGAGGCGGCGCTCAGCGGCAGCTTTTCGACTTTCCGCTGCTCGTGATGGATTCGAAAGTGCCATTTTGGGGGGGAACGGGCGCCGAGAAGACGCGAGGGATTCTCTCTTCCCGCAAAAGGGCCGCGGAGCGGCGGCGGCGCAGCGTGGAGATGGCAGCGCCCTTCTGACAGCGGCGCTCCGTGCCCTACGCTGCTCTCGTTGCTTTACGTTTCAGGAAGCCTCGGGAGGCTGAATTCCGCCCCAAAGAGCCCCGCGGGAGGTAAGGAGCAACGCCGCGACTGCCCGTGGCGGGGTCTGTCAGCACCCCGCCCGCCTCTTCTCACCGCGGAGACGTTGGCTGGAACGGCCCCACGCGAGAGGCGGCCCGGAGACGATCGGCACCGGGGAGCTGCCGGGCGCAGCGCGGCACCCCGGCGGGGACAGCCGGCGCCGAGGGCCCGGGACGCGCGGCCAGCGCCTCCGAAACGAGAGCCGGTCGGCCCCGAGGTGACGGGAGGGCGCGCGGCGATCGCTGCCTCTCCCTTACAGCCCGGCTGCGCGGTTTTCCTGCTGAGATCCCCCAACCGCCCCTCGTTCGTGAGTGCAGAAAGGCGAAAGGTAGTGAGGTGAGCACGCTTCAAGCAGGAAAACGCCGTGCTCCGGCTGTCGGATGTCCACAGCCACGAAATGAGGGGAAAAGAAAGTGTATTTAAGGGCCTTGGTATGACGGTTCTCTGTCAGAAGCAACAGTGCAGGCAGCATTGTTAACAGAAGTATGAATTGTATCTCTATAGTTATCTCTGGGGGAAATTACATGTGTATATATATGACACCCGTGTATTTAAGTCCAGTTGCTTTTCTGCACAAAAATGAAATAACATGCAGCACTTCGAACTTGGTGTCAGGCGGCTTCAATAAGACCAATTTCGTGTCTAATCAGTGCCCCAGATCCCCGGGTTTGGGATGTTTGCTGTGCAGATGTACTGCAGAACAGGACTTGGGGCCTTGCAGCAGCCCCCCACTACTTGCTTTGTTTTACAGCTACAAAGCAAGCCCCTGCGTTCTGTTAATCACATCGCATAGCAAAAATAATGAAGTGAAGTACAGCAGGGATGCCGCAGGCCTCCTGCGAGTGACACTGCCCGGCCACAGCAAGCAGGCAGGCATCCATCCAACAATTCCTCCCAGAAAGAAGTGTCCCCATCACAGTCATTTCCTTTCGGCGGTGGTAGCGATACCGTCAGATAGAGGGAACTGCCCCGATGGGCAGCAAAACCCCCTGTGGAAGGCTGCAGGGACAGAGCCGGCCGTGTTCTGCGGCGCTGCCCGCGGGCACCTCGGAGTGCGGAGCTGCGAGAACGGAAAGCTTCGCTGCGAATCTCACCTGAGCTTCCCCAGCCGGGGCACGTCGGGCCGCTCACCTCTCCTTCACATTCTGGATCAAATCCTTCCCGTCTTGATCCAGTGAAGATATCATTATTTAAAATAATCCTGTGATAGACGTGAACACGGCGTAACTTATCTTGACAGCACACCTAGAACACAAATCGGTGCCAGGAATGAACTGGCTCCGGTCCAGTTTCCAAACCTCGCCTTTCAGACCTCGTTACAGTTACTCTCTAGTAATGCGGGGGTGGATTTGTTTGTAGCTCAGCCCGGGCTGCCACGGGCACCGCACCATTCCCGGTACCGACGGCAGCGCCGTGAGGGCAGCGCTGGTCGGACGGTTGTGAGCGGGGCAACAAGAAACCTCTCGGGAAGCCTCGCCAGCTTAAACTAAAGCAGGTAAAGCGTAACATCCAGCTTTTCTGACCCTTTGCCTCTCTATCCCGAGCGGTGTTTTAGTACGGTTTGCATCCACCTCGAAGCTCTGCGTAGTTTTGCAGCCACCGAGGGGCACCGGACGCGTCCCGAAGGCGCCCAGCGGCACCTTGGGGGCGGCTCGCAGCCCTGCCGCCCCGCTGCGCCGCGCCCCTCGCTCTCCCCCCACACAGACGGATTCCGCCGGGACCCGCGGCCGCTCTCCTTCCCCGCGCTTCGCTCTGCTGTTTGCCATCGAGCAGAGTCTGAAAATGGTCGGGCAGCGGCTCTCGCCGACGCGAATAGAAAAACAATAAAGGATTCTCTCTCCTAAAGCTGGGGAAGGAGCTCGGTTCCGAGATGGCGTGACGGAGCTCCGCGGGCCGGCACCGCGAGCAGGGCGCTCGGGCCGCCCGTGACCCGAGGGACGGCGGGCACAGCGATCGCTGAGCGCAGCGTTCGTGCTCGACGCGGGGCTGTGAGGGCACCGGGCTGTGGGGGCACACGGGAAAACCGGGATTCGGCCGCGCTCCGCCGCGCAGCCGCCTCTCACGGCGCCGGGGCGAGCGCGGGCCGCCGGCGGTGCCGTTGGACGCCCGCCGTCATTTCTCGTTAGGCCGCTCCCCGGGCCGCGGGGCCGCCCTCAGCCGGCCTCGGGGCGGGGGGCGGCCCTGAGGAGACGGCTCCCCTCGGGAGCCCCGCGGCGAGGCGGGGCGCCCCTCAGGCCGGGCCTAGGCGCGGGGCGGGGCGGCCTCGCGCTCTCTCAGGCGCGCTGGGCGGGAAGGCGGCGCGAGCGCGGCGCGCGCTCCCCTCCTTCAGCGGGAACGCGCGGTCAGCGCCGGAAAGGCGCCGCCTCCCCCGCTCCCTCCTCCTCCTCCGCTCCGCGAGCGCTTGACAGGAGGCGGTCACGTGGCGGCCGCAAAGCGCCTCTTTGCGACCTCGATGACAGGCAAAATGTGCGACAGGCGCCGTGCGGGCGGGGAGGGAGCGGCGCTGCCTCCTCCTTCTCCTCTTCCCCGGGCCGGCCGCTGAGCCAGGCAGCGCTGCTCGGCTCCGGCTCCCGCCCGCTCCGCCGCCTCCCGGCCCTCCGCCTCCTCGTCCTCCCGCTCCTCTCCGTCCGGGCCCGGCCCGCCGCCTCCATGAGCCCGTAGCTCCCGCCGGCACAGCTCTCGCTGCGCGGGGCAGAGCGGAGCCGGGGCCGCCGCCGGCCGCCATGGCGTCCAACATGGACAGAGAGATGATCCTGGCCGACTTCCAGGTAAACGGCGGCCCGTGGGGCCGGGGGCTCGCTCCTCTTTCTCTGTCCGCCCGTTTCGGTGCCTCCGGGGCTTTGTGGGAGGATCGCGAGCCGCTCTCCGCCGCGGCCGCTCCTCCGTTCCTTTATTTCCCCGTCACGACACGTGCCCTGGGCTCTCGGGCTGCGCCGACGCGACGTCCCCCTGAACTCGGGGAGCTTCGCGTCGCGTCCCGAAAGCTCTCGGCTCCGCCTCGCTCCCTCGGCCCGCGCAGGGCAGGCGGTGCGGGGCGGCTCGGGCGGAGGCCGTGCCCGGCGATGGGTGCCGGCCCGGCGGTGCCCTCCTCGCGGCAGCGCCGGCTCCGCGTGTTGTAATGACGGAAGGACTCTCCCCTCCCTTCTCCTCCCCTCCCCGTTCCGTACAACAACGTGTCTGTGTAGGAAGAATATGCCCTTGCAGCTTGTTGCCTCCCCTCCTGCCAGCGAAAAGAGGTAACGTTTAACTTGGAGCTCTTACTCTGAAGTGCGGTGGTCAGCATTTATTGCGGGGCCTGGTCAGTCTCTTCTGTGTACTGCTTCCTCATGCTGCTTGTTTGCCTTATTCCTACGTCCAAGAACGAGTAAACAAACAGGTGGGTGATGCTGGTTGTAATGGTGGGGCGAGCCTGCAGAGAGCAGCAGGTAGGGATATCAGATCATGTTAGAATATCTCCTTAATATTTGCTTTTCAATTAACCTTCTTTTTTTAAGCTTTGTCCACTTGCAGTGCCTGATTTTTGACTGGATGTACTCTTGGACTGAGTTGTAAACCTGCTCGGTGAACGTACCATGCCTTAAAAGAGCCTCTCTCTCAGCTGTTGGCTGTAAAATTCGTATATTCCATTAAAAAAAATGGGAGGGAAAAACTCCTCCCTTCCCTCGCCGTGTGTTTAACAAGAATGTTTCCTTGGAATTAGAGGTGGTGTGACTATATTGTACATTACATAATTCCTCTTTTGCAAAAGTTATCTGATCTCTTCTTGATATAACATGTAGAGTTCCCAGTTGATAACAAAGAAACATTTTCACTTGTACATGAATATGTTGCACCCATTTTTATTTGAACATTTAGTGAATGTTTTTATAGTCATTTGATTTGCTGCACTTGGAGTTACTTTTGTGTATGTAAGGAGCAATGTCTCAATTTTAAGGATGGGTTTTCACAGCTTTTC